CGCGGCGCGCATCGACGCCAGGATCCGCGAGCATCGCCTCGTCCGATCTTTAACCAAACTAACTACGCTTCGGCTTCAAATGGCTTCACTTCTGACTGTGCTCCAATAAAACCTGGGACCACGACTCCTAAACTCGCGTAACGGCTTCACTTCTGATTGCGCTCCAATAAATCCTGGGACCGCGACTCCTAAACTCACGTAACGGCTTCACTTCCGACTGCGCTCCAATAACCCTGGGACTGCGACTCCTAAACTCGCGTAACGGCTTTACTTCCGACTGCACTCCCAGGATCCATGAGCTCCGGCTTGTCCGATTCCTGAACTAACTAAACTAACTCTCTCGATCCACGGCGCGCACCGACGCCTGGGTCCGTTCGTGGCTCCGCCTCGCTCGATCCCACGGCGTGCATCGACACCAAAGATCAGTGAGCTCTGACACGTCCGAACCGAGCTATCTCCATCTGTGGTGCGCACCGACGCCAGGGTTTGCCCCGAACTAACCTTCTCACCCAATCCACGGCGCGCACCGACGCCGGGAATAACAAGTTCTGTCTCATCTCCGTGCCTAGAAACCGCCTCGGCTACGCAACGACGTCGTGGTTAATAAAATTCCGTCTCAAACTAAAAACATGCACACACGCCCGCTGAAACAACACCCCCTAACGGTTCTACCCGAACCACCCGGGGGCTCGGGGGCTACCCACCGACACAACGAAAAAAACTCCCCCGCTGACAACGCAGAAAACCCCCCACCCGGTTCTGCCCGAACCGACCCGGGGCTCGGGGGCTACACCCGCGGGTGCGCTCGCGCGCACCCGCCATCAAGACAAAAAAATCCTCCGGACGATTCGGCTCAAATCGCCCGAGGGCTCGGGGGCTCCCGTCGGGTTCATAAACCCAGGGTCCCTCGGGGACCGGCTTCCACGCCAGGGCTCGGCCCAGGAAAATAGCATGTAGTTCATGGGCCGGCCCAAGAGTCTAAAACACGATGGGCCGGAAGGACATTCCGGTCCCCGACCGGAAGGTCTACCTAAAAGAACAAACGCCCGCTCGTCAACTTCTTCGGCCCACCTCTCCGACTGGAGCACTAGCTTCGGGCACCAGCCGCCTCCGGGCGGTCTCTCCGATCGAAAGGCCTGGCCCAAAACACTGCATCCTCTGCATCCTACTCTGACCCCGCGTTTCCGACCGGGGGCCCGTAGGAAGCTTGATTGCCGCTCTTCTCCGACTGACGCGACCAGGACCGACTGGGGCCATCCGACCGGGGACGCCCGCTCGGAAGGAACCAGGGGCGAACAGAAAAGGCAGCGCACAAGTCAAACCACGATACCAGGGACCATACCCTGTACGCCTGCGGGAACAGTTCTCCACAACCGCCATGACACAAATGGTATTGAGGCGTCGACATTTGTGTCTACAGTATTGTAGGCGCCGTTGGACTCCCGTACGGCAAAAAGCCCCCCACATGCCTCTAGGCATCGGTAGTGGGTGCCAGGATTCACCATACCTGGTATACGTGGTAGGGCTCTTCACATACCGATAGTATTTTGCAGGTACCGACATCTACCCTTTCTGAAGAAGACAACGCAAACTCCCCTGTACACCTGACATTCTACAGTGACATCAACAATATTGTGGGCGTCTACCATCATCACTGTCCTCATCGGCGTGGGCAACAAGACTTAGTAGCATCCGTACTCTCTCCCTCTCATCGGTAAAGCCATCCCCTTCATCTATAAAAGGGGATGCGCTTCCTCCAACAAAGGAGGTCGACTTCTTCAAGTTTAGATTCACTAGATCAATAGCTCACAACCTCTCAAGCACACGCTTAGACTCCTAGCTCATAGCGGAGTTCTGGTCGCCCTCGGCCCTTCCGGTCAGACCCGACCGGGCCTCTCATACACCCTTCCATTCTCCTTCTCGTTTGTAACCCCACTATAAACTTCGAGCACCTGGGCTCAGGAATAAAGTCACCGACCGACCCACACTGGACATAGGGCACGTTGCCTGAACCAGTATAAATCCTGTGTTATTGAGTGCTAGGCCACCTCCGATCACAACGTACAGCAAAACTATAAATATTCACTAGTTGATCACTTTCTGTACCGACACTACCCGAGACGTAATAGAGTGATGAGTGGTCGGGTTTGGAATAGATAGACGTATTATTAAGAGGAAATTCTAAAGTAAAACAGTAATCTAAGTGCCACTATGTTTGAACTAACTTTGCATATGCATTGAACCTAGTGACGCAATGAGATGCAATTGAAAAATGGTTTTAAAAAGCTAACTCAGTCCCTAAAATGAAGGTGTTCATGCTTGAACACATTGAGAGTTAGCGGATTTGAAACGCTTGCGAAAATATGACTTAGGGCAGCCTTGTTCCTGTGCGTGATACGCTGACTCGATTGCCAGAGTCAACACCTCTGACATATTCGAAGTCACAAGGAGCTGTACAGTGTATTGGTAGTATCACTAGGGACTAGGGAGTAAACAGGTGGGGCCTCTTAAGACGTATGCATCATCTTAATATGTCTATCTCCGGTAATGGATTTACAGAAAAGATCTAATCAACCGATCATCTCTAATACAAAACATTTTGACAAATGGTCATGTTCGGCTTGCTGAATCTTGGCTGAAACTGGCTGAAAAACATTGTTCTGGTTGAATTGTTGTGAGAGAAAAACACTGTTTCGACTAAAAAAACAAACCGAACAGGCTGAATATGGGGTAAACCGAACAGGGACAGACTGGCTACACGTCTCTGTTAAAAGAAAGTGCTCGCCTTTGAAAATGGTTCATATACTAGTGTATACCAAGTGCAGTAGCATACTAGCATGAGTCAATGTGCTTCAATGTGCAGTATTTCAAATGGAATTTAAAATATGAGCACCCATTTATTGGCAGTAGTGTCTAGAATGTGGTTCTTTTGTCGCCCTCATGGAACATGTGAGGTTCCTGTAGGCTGTAGCAATGCACGGCCTCGCTAGATGCCTGTTGGATTCTGTGAGGAGAATGCAGTAGCGCTTCCTTGGATTCGGGAACACGAACACAGATCGTTGATCTATTTTGAGCTAGTACGCAGTTTTATCTGGCCAGATCCACGTGCTTATGCTCAGGTTCGTGAATTGCCTTGGCATCTCCGTGTTCACTGCCTTGGGCCCTTGGCTACAACTACGAGGCTTACTCCATCCATCCCAAAAAAAACACAGGTTTAAATCCAATGCGTAAAATTTTAGGTGTCATTTTAGGTGTTATATGGAGATGTCGTATTGAATATTCGGATACTAATAAAAATAAATTACAAAATCCGTCAGTAAATCACAAGATGAATTTATTAAATCTAATTAATTCGTCATTAGCATATGTATTACTATAGCATCATATTATCAAATAATGGACTATCCAAATATTAATGAGATAAGAAGTAAACTTTTAGCGGGAAAGTAAACGAGGCCTACATGGTACTACACTATAAGCTCCGATTGGACACGGACACTCGGACAGCTTTATAAATTTGGCTTAGCCCTTGTTTAGTTCGCGAAAAGTTTTTACAAAAAAAAGTCTTCTGAGATTATCATCACATCGAATCTTGCAGACGCATACATGAAAGATTAAATGTAGACGAAAATAAAAACTAATTACACAGTTTGGTTGGAAATTGCGAGACAAACGTTTTGAGCCTAATTAGTCCATGATTGAACACTAATTACCAAATAAAAACGAAATTGCTACAGTAGCCAAATTTCGCACTTTTCGCGAACTAAACGCGCGCTAAATATGGTACCCCAGCCGGCTGGCACGCACGCACTCACACGGAAATCGTGGCACAAATTTGGGAGACCAGAGCCGTCCCCGAGAGCAGGTCGGGCCCGGGGTCACATGAAACTCGTGGTTTAGCTGGCGAATTTTTTTAAATAGTAATATAGTATTTTCGTTGTTATTTGATAATTAATGTTCAATCATAGTCTAATTAGGCTCAAAAGATTCGTCTCGTAAATTTCGTCTAAACTATGAAATTAGTTTTATTTTTTTATTTATATTTAATGCTTCATGCATGCGTCAAAGATTCAATGTGATGGAAAATCTTGAAAAATTTTGTAAAATTTTAAGAACTAACCAGACACTTTGCTGGAAGGACGGAGCTCACTGCTTCAGGCAGGGTTCAGGCCTGCGAACCGACCGGCCGTACGGTACTGTCACCCTACAGGCCTGCGAACTCGCAGTCGCTCGGAAAAGAAAAGGAGCCATGGCCCATGACCATGAGCCATCCACCATCCAGCGGGGTGAGGGCGATCGGGCGTAGCCCGGCGAGTGGCGAGCGATCAGCCATCGCCGTCGACAGGAGAGCGGTCGCGGGTCATGTGGTATGACCGCCGACAGATGAGAGGTGCCGCGTCGTCGGATCGGAGGCGAGGGTAAAATATTCAGTGCAAACACATGAGATGAGCGAACGACGTCGCCTCGCCCGTTGCCGACAGCTGGAGTGTTAGGCTGTCGTTATAACACAGCTTATAAATCAGAGTACAATATTTTTTTTAAAAAAAATCAGTCATACAATCTAGCATAAACGGTTTTACGAGCAGCGGAACAGAACCAGCGTGCGTGGCACTCCTGAACCCACCGGTGCGCAAGGACGCTCCATCGTTTCGGATCTCACGCTCCCACTGCACAGGCGATAGGCGTGTCGAACAGTGATCGTCTCTGATTGGACCAACCGATGGTACGGGCACAGCATGCAGAAGCACGACACTATGGCCTTGTTTAGATGTCATCCAAATTTCAAGTTTTTTCATTCTCTCCATCACATCAATTTTTAGCCGCTTATATAAAGTATTAAATGTAGATAAAAAAATAACTAATTACATAGTTTAGTTGGAAATCACGAGATAAATCTTTTAAGTCTAATTGATCCACGATTAGACAATATTTATCAAATAAGACGAAAGTGATATTATTTATCGGGTTGAAAAAATTTACAAAGTAAACAAGCCCTAGGCCTAGTAGCCAATAATGTCGGGGGACCTCTGCCTTAGGCCGCGTTCGGATCCATCTGGATTCCAGAAGCTAACTTCTAAAAGCCAGATTCCTATAAGCTAGATTATAAAAGCTAAAATGAAAGGCTGTTTGGATTCACAATTTCTGAAAGCTGGCCTCTAGCAATGTATAGAGCAAAATTACCAAAATACCCTTACTTTTTATTTTTTACATGCGACTATCTTCGTTGCTGCTGCACTACTTGGTCTCACAAAATGTCTGCAATAGAACAATTTTCTATTGACCATACAAAAGCCGAACATCAAAATTCATACATATTAGCAACGGTTCGTACATATTTAATTACAAGGAACAGTCCGTACATATTTAAGTAACAGTACATGCATATTTAAACACTTGGCCCAGTTCGTTTATCTTATAATCCGTCGATTTCAGCTTATTTTTTTAGTTAGAATAATGTTTTTCTCTCACAACAAATCAGTCGGAACAATATTTCGGTTTGTTTTTTCAGGGAAGCGGGCCTTTGTACACCACTTCACATTGAAATTCAACACTTGTCACTGCAAAATCTACTCTTTCAATTCCTAACAGTCATTACACTAAATCAGGTTGACATTAAATACATGTTCACTTCTCTTATAATCCATACTTTTCAGCTTGTTTTTTTAGTCGGAACAGTGTTTTTCTCTCATAATAAATCAGTTGAAATAATTTTTCGGCTTGATTTTTTCAGCGAAACGATTGGAGCCAAAATAGACTCTTTCAACTCTATCATCTCCCATAGCAAACAAAGCATTAGCAAGGCTATTACGAAATATGTTCATGTCATTATCATCATCACCTAACCCACTGTTGCCACCACCAGGACGAGATGAAGATTCCTTCGGTATTGTCATGTAGTTCTCATCCTTATCGCACGTGTCAAAATCTGCATCTCAATGCACTTTCACGTATGAAATTATGCAGAGCCATGCATGCAAGTATCACTTTAGATTGCTTTCTCATTGGATAATTAGGTAAATTCAATAAAATCCTCCGCTTCATCTTTAGAACACCAAATGCCGGTTCAATAACAATAACATTGCGAAGTGATGAATGCAGATAATTGAATATCTCTTTTTTTGCTACATGAGCCCTGTTCGCTTCTCTTATAATCTATCTTTTTCAGCTTGTTTTTTCAATCGGAATAGTGTTTTTCTCCCACAACAAATCAGCCGGAACAGTATTTCGGCTTGTTTTTTCAGCGAAGCGAACGGGGCTATGGTCTTAGCCCTTTTCTAAATTCGGGCAAATGGTACTTGGTGCCCTTGTACGACGCAAGATAACCTCGTCGGTTAGGATAGGCTGAATCCACAAGGTAATATTTTCCTATACAACTAAAATGTATTAGAACAGTTCACAACTAACTCTGTACCAAATAAGATGAGCTGTTATAAAATTGAGTTTACCTGGTGGAGGATGCGGGAATTTTTCCCTATATTTGCGTACAGCATCATCAGTGAACACCCTCATATCATGTGCTGACCCCGGCCATCCAGCGACAGCAAAGGTGAACCTCGTGTGGAAATCACATATGGCTAATACATTTTGACTGGTATATCCATAACGGCCAATATGCTGCAGCATCTTTGAAGACGACACATAAACAGGTATGTGCGTGCCATCTATTGCTCCAATGCAATCATTGAAAAGTGGTGAAAATGGAGCACCTTGAAGTCTAGGATGCACCATCCTAAATTCTGGCTCTCGTGGTTTGATAATATCTGCTGAAAGCATGTAAACACTATGCAACACTTTGTCAAACTTTCTACTTATCGTCTCAGTTGACCGCTCAAAACGATTTACAGCTTGTCTAAACGATTGAGGTGCACCAATAATCCACAAAAACATGGCTAAAGACTCTATTGAGCTCATTTTTCGTGTTGATTTTAATCCATAAGATGAGACCAACACATCATGTAGGCTATTGAATAGAGCATAAGGAACTCACCATGGAATCGTGAGCAAGAGCAGCCTCATCTTCATCTATGATGGCGGAATCATGTGCTGGGCGGCCACGAACACCACGACGACGGCCACCCGGGGGACGTCCTCCCTCGTCCCCTTCACCTCTGGAAACACGATGATGATGGTCACCATTGTGAGCACTGGGAGCTGTTGTAGTCGCTCTGATAGCAGGTCTGGCCCGACGAGGAAGCTGATACGGCCTCGCGGCCGAGGCTGTACCACCATCCGACTTGGTTGGAATGGGCGCGACGCGCCGAGTTGCAGTAGTGCTCGGCGAAGGGATGGCGCATCCACGACCAACGCCGGCAACCTCTTGCCCTGACCCCCCAACAGCACCGGCGGTGTGAGAGCGCAACAACTCACCAAATGACATGCCGAAATCGAGGTCGGGGGCCTGGGAGTTGAGGTCCAGGTCTTCCGTTGCACCAGCTGCTGCAGGAGGAGGGACGCCGTCGTCTGTGGGGTGTGCCGCTGAGTCGAAGCCGGCCGGATCGGGAATAGAGTCCGAAATCTCGCCCGGGCCGACGAACTCCATGGAACCGAGATTGGTGCGACGGGTGTGCGGATCTGGAAAGAGCGTATGCGTATCGTCTTCAGGCTCCTCGAGTGATTCCTCATGGAGCGGACGAATCGGATGGGCCGGCAGAACCCACGGGCGACGGTGGTTGGGTTGAGCGGTTGGGGCGGGGGCGAGGCGCGGTGAGGGAAGGTTGTGGGCGGTCGGAAGGGATGGATTTTCCTGGCTGAGGGAGACAGCGGCGGCCGGCTCGCCAGCACGGCCTGCCGCTCGAGCGCTTGGGAGGAAGAAGGGTGGCGCCGTTGTTGCGGATGGGAACGGATGCGAGGAGACAGGGAGGATCGATTCGTGCACGGTAAAAACAGGGAGGATCGATTCTTGCTTGAAGGTGCAAAAAATGGGCTGGATCGGCTTGCCAGGTGTCAGCTTTTTGCCAGTCTTTTTATTGTAACAATCTGTAACACTCTAGATTTTATAAGCTGCTTAAAAGTTGGGCGGTTTGGACGCTCCAGCAGATTCTGGAAGCCGGATTGCAAAATCCAGGGCAATCCAAACGGGCCCTTAGCTAGTAAGCTAGAGACATGACTCAGGGTGTGTTTATTCGAGGACAAGGTGGATGGGATATGATCATCCATGGATTTCGATATATGAATATTCATGTTGTTTGTTTGGTTGGATGGATAGGGTGTGTTATTTTTATGTTTGGTTAGATAAATAAGATTGCATGGGATGAGAATACTTGACTAATTATATTTATTATTTAAAAATAATAACAACTAATTATACCCTAATAAATATTGTCATTATAATCACTAATAATAAAATTGTTCATTATAATCACTAATAAAAAATAAAATATGTTAGATTTTTTTAATATATCTAGCACTACCAAAATATTTCTATTATAATTGTCAAACACATACATTCATAAATATACATATCCCATCTATAAATATCTACGGAACCAAACACACCCTCAAGAAACGAATCACTGAACCAGGGTCGCAAGGCGCCAGCCAGTTGGCCTCAACCAAGTTCTGGCCCTGCCTGTGTACCACAGTTCGTTCATCTACGGTCTGAAATCTACGAGGGTCTCCTGTCGTGATTGAAAGAAAGAAAGAAAGAAACTTGCATGGATGAAATACTTGACTAATTATATTTATTATTTAAAAATAATAACAACTAATTATATCCTAATAAATATGCACCACTAATTTTGTCATTATAATCATATATATGTTATTCCCATCTATAAATATCACAAAACGGAATCCATATGTGGACATTCCCTCATTAGGAACAGGGAACGAGATTCTAATCACTGAACCAGGGTCGCAAGGCGCCAGCCAGTTGGCCTCAACCAAGTTCTGGCCCTGCCTGTGTACCACAGTTCGTTCATCTACGGTCTGAAATCTACGAGGGTCTCCTGTCCGTGATTGAAAGAAAGAAAGAAAGAAACTTGCCGGATGAGAAGAGACGAGAGGTAACTAATGGAGGGCGTAGCAAGCGTATCCCGCGTGACGTACACGGCACAGGCAACACGCGGTACACCGCGGCCCTCTGGTCGCGCGTCACGTCTGGCTGTACACCCGTCGCTGCCATCGCGGCCTCTCCTCGTCCCACGGCACCGGGAGATCCCACACACCCGCTAGCGCCCCGGTCAAATCCCGCGCGCGCCCCCGCCCAGATCACGTGTCGCTAGCACGCCTTTCCGCCTGATCGGGGCCGTCACGGACCCGTCCGGCCGTCCCTCTCGCCTGCCCTGCCCCTCGTCCTCCTCCGTCCGAACACGTCGCTACCGCCACCGAGGCCCTCCGACCCGACGCTCTCCCGCATTCCCATTCCCCGAGGACCACCAGTCACCCGTTCCGGCAGTCACGTGTTTCATGCGACGCGAGTCACCTCCCCGACCGGCTGGCCCGCCCGTGCCCTGCCCCCACGGCTCGCCGTCCCACTTGCCGTCTCCTTGGCACGCGCTATTAAAGGGGCAAAGGCCATTTGCGAGGGGAGGAAAAGTACACGAGAGCTTGTCGGAGGCTCTGTCTCTGTGATTGACTGATAAGCAGAGGAGGAGGAAGCGAGGAGGAAGCTGCGACTTGGAGTTAGGCGTCTTTGGTGAGCTAGCTGGGGGTGAAGTGGACGGGACGGGAAGGAGAGGAGAGGAGAACGGCGCCGCGTGGCCATGGCTGGACGTGCGCCGGCGACGGACAAGACCAGCTTCGCCGCCACGTGCAGCCTGCTGAGCCAGTATCTCAAGGAGAAGAAGGGCGGCCTGCAGGGCCCTGGCGGCTTCGCCATGGCGCCGGCGCCGGCACCTGGTAAGGCAGCAACAGTTCTCAGTCGTCGTGTTTTCTTTCACGCAATCCGTTCAGTGTCATGCACGCACGATTAAGCTTCCCGTGAACACTAATCGCTGTGCACCTGGTCCTGTTTTTAGGACGGATGGTTGATTTGTGGTGAGAGAAAAATATTATTCGTTGGTTAAAAAAGTATGACGAATACCGTTTTTTTTTTCTCATTAGGCTCGCCCATCGTCGTCGCAGGAGCAGGAGCCTTCCGGCCGCCGACCACCATGAACTTGCTGTCAGCGCTCGACGCGCCGGCCGAGGAGCCCAACGAGAAGGCCACCACCGGGGAGCCAAAAGACCATGACAAACGCACCTGCGTAAATCCAAGGTAAATATAAACAAACGAAATCCGCTACCGTCCATGCACTACTGCTGGTAAATTGATGACGAAGAAAAAGCAAGTTCGTGCCTTGTGAACCGAAAGAACAACACACCCGGCTCAAAAGAAAGAAAGAAAAAACAAGTGTGATCTGTTTTTGTCAAATGTAACAGAGACATTTTGATTCCTGTAGGGAGGCAGCTGGAGACGAGGCGCAACAGCTGACCATCTTCTACGGTGGAAAAGTGGTCGTCTTCGACAAGTTCCCCTCCACCATGGTCAAGGACTTGCTACAAATCGTGAACCCTGGCGGCGACGGCGTGGACGGGGCCAGTGCCACTGTCCCGCCACAGAAGCTGCCTACGCCTTCACACAGCAGTCTCTCTGGTAAAGCCTCCCTCCTGATTCCCCTCAAAAAAAAAAAAAAAAGCCTCCCTCCTGGCCTCCTCTTGCAGTTCTACCATGAGTCCACGACAAACACTACTTGGCACTTGGATGAGCCCATATCCATTCAAACTTTTGTTGCACAGACTAGTTGAAAAAAAAGATGAGTGTGGTTTCACACAACTTTATCGGTGACACAAGTGTTTTTTTTGGCTCTGTAAACAGATCTGCCGATTGCGAGGAGGAATTCACTCCACAGGTTTCTTGAGAAGAGAAAGGACAGGTAACTGAGTTGCTTTTTTTTCTCTCGAATTCTCAGTGATGGAAAACAGTTGCATTTCAGGATCACATGTTGAATCAAGTTCAGTTAAGCAGAGTTCTGACATGTTTTTGTGCTTTTTTTCATTCAAATTCAAATTCCAGGATAACTGCAAAGGCGCCATACCAAGTCAACAGCTCTGTTGGCGTTGAGGCGCCGAAGCAAGCGGCCGGAGTGGAGAAGAAACCTTGGCTGGGGCTGGGCCAAGAAGCGACAGTCAAGCAGGAGATGTGATCTTGCCCAAAAGGAAGATGCCACGTCGTAGCTTCAGGTTAAGGGAAAGAATAATTTACCGTCGGTTACTCAGTTTACTGCTCTACTACCACTACTACTAGTGACGAAGTTAGGAATTGTTCTGGTGGTTAATCCTAATTGGCCACCACAAGCATATACGTAAGGTCGGTCAGCCGTTCGTTCTCGAGATTGTTTGCTGCTGGAGATGATGAACATGCTCGCAGCAGTTTCGCTGGTGCGCGACCGGCGCCATATGTTGCAACGATTGGTTGCTGCTGCCTTGCTCGATATGTTGACGGAGCGATGTTGTAGTGCACGTTCCGGTACATTTTATTGTCCTCTGTCCCTGTCCTGTATGTTTTTTTTACAACCCCTGTCCTGTATGTTTACACTGGATCCTCCCTCTCGTAGATGGTTTGTATGTTCAGTGGAAGATGTTTATTTGGTCTATTTAATTTTTATTTTTATTATGAATATGTATGCGTGTAATGTATTGTGGTATGCTGTATAAATACACGCTTTATTGTATCTTCAGCTCGAGAGCTGCAGCGCCTGAAGCTTTCATTCTGCACAGTAGCTCACCGATCACTAGTAGTACTTCAAATGGTTCTGCACTATACTAGCATTACTCTCATAAATTCTTTGTATGAATAAAAAAAAAAAAAAGAATACGACGGCATGCAGCTGCTCTCCTCCCAGGGAAACAAACATAACAAAAAAAAAGTCGTTCTAAAAAATGAGGCAAGTTCCAGCCAGTGCCGGTACCAGGATTTTAAGGACATCTGACGATCTCGTTGCAACGAATCCTCTTAATCATGTATAAAATTTTATAATATATAGACACTAATTTTATTTGCAAAACGAAAGCAAATTTAATAACATATTTTTAATTTAACATCTCTGATAATTATCGAGGAATAATATAGATTAAACAATATATTTGTATATATATGATAATTATTAAGGAACAATGTAGATTAAAAAAATAATATATTCGTTTTTTTTCTCACCCATGACAAATGTTTCTTAGATAACATTCTAAAACTCTAACACCTAAATTAGAAGAAAAATATGACTATATGGGTACAAAGTACTAGAAGTCTGCAATACTATACAAATAATTAAGTTGTATTAAAAATAAAAAAAAAAAAAAAATACCTTAGGCCTAAACAACTGATCGGTGATCGCAATTCGTAAGAAGCCAACAATCAAGATGTCGTCATCGTGGAGCTCTGCCTGGTCACCGTCCTCGTGCGCCTTGTCCGTGTCTCCGGTAGTCTAGCTCTTCGCAGCGGCGCGGCTCGCCAGCTTTGTGTGTGTAAGGCGCACATCGCGAACTCACGATCAAAGTGTGATGTGTGCAGCGTGACTCCTCGCCTCCTCTCTACCCGAGAGCCGTGGGAAAAGGAAACTAGAAAAGAAATACCGATGTTGTCTTTTTGGGCCGCTTGACCAGTTCTATGTCTCTCTTCTCATTAGTTTGGTAATGCCTAATGGACTATAGGACCTAGAGGTTTGTATACCTGGGCTTAGACCCCTCCTCCGCTTGGGCCCTCGGCCGTCGCACCTCGGCACTAGTTCCAGCCAAACAGATCAATTCATCTTCAAAAGTATCTAATATTCTCTTTCTAAAAACATAAAGTTTTATAACTCCTAAAAAAATATTAGAAGAAATAAAGAATATCATCTCCAAGAGTTTCTAATGATCCACTTCTAAAATATAGAAGACAATTTTACATCAGAAATCCTATACTATTTTTAAATTATTCTAACCATTTTTATATATTATTTCTCTCTTATATAATTGCATCAAGAACCATTTCCTACTCTTTATTTTTTTCACGTCCCCTTGCACCTTTAGATTGGCCGACAAACACACACGGGAGAGAGAAGATACGCGCGACTCCTAAGCGCGTAACCTTACACGGAACATGTGACTTTTTTCAAGTTCTAAAAGATTAGGAGGATGGATTAGGAGTTGTTGGAGAGGAGTTTTTTCTCATCTTACCAAAAACAAAGGATTAGGAAAGGATTTAGGGAATTCTTGATATGCTCATTATACTAAATCGTGTAAATAAGCTAAATGCTGAGGTGAGAAAGAAAGAGGAGAGAAAAGGAAAGTGGACGGTAAGTTTATAGTCAGCTCAAGCAAGAACTAAGAAGTTCAGAGAAGAAAGTGCATCAGATATTAATGTCAGGGTATCTGATAAGTAGACTGTAATACAGTGCTAGCAGGAAGACAATACAGCTGCTCTGGCTGCAAATAAGCTGCAATATCATTAGTCATGCTCTTAGGGGGGGTGTTTGGATTGAATCCTCCAAGACAGACTCGCAGCCAGGGATCAATTCCAACGTTGGCGATCGATCTGAGACGCACGGCGCGCCAGACAAGTTTGCCTAGGGTTGAACCAAACAGCCCTTGTTCAAAGGACGAGTTTTCGGCGGAGAAAACAGTGGGATTTCGGTTCTCGTGACGAGGTCTTCGCGCAAAGAAAACAGGAGCTAGCCCTGTTCGATCATCAGGGAGTAAAAAACGTGCTGAAACAAAACTGGAGGATTCCCTGCACCTGCAGTGTTCAAAACCGAGCCTTTATTACCCCTGCGGACCGACCTGGCACTGCAAGATACGAGACGGAACCAGCAAATAGCGCACGAGTTTGGCCGGGCTCAGAGTCAGAGCACGAGCGACGAGCCTGGAAAAAGTAGGAAGAGGAAGCACGCCAACCCGCCAAGACGCGGTCCCCGTTCTTCCTGTGCGTTGTGCGTTGTGCGTCGACCCCGCAGCGCCCCACTCGGCCGGTCGGCGTTGCCGTCCCTGCACGCCTCGGCATGCGTGGCGTCTGGCGTGCTCGTCTCCTCCCTCTCCCAGGCGACAACGTCGGGTTCGGCATCCACGCATATCTGTCTGTCTGTCCGGCCGCACCGCTCTCCGCGTCGGTGTCGCCGAAGAAAAAAGATCAGTCAGTGGCTCTGTCTGGAGCGGGAGGATAAACTTTCGCGGTGACACCGACCCAGCGCCCAGACTTACAGTGCTGTAGCCTATATAGGCTAGTATGACGTTACGCCTGCAGGTCTTCGTTCTTCGGTTAGAACCGCCTTTGACGCCTAGCTTCTTTGGTTGATGCGAGTGGCCACTGGGGAGGGCGGCACACAAAACACATGCCTCCATTTGTTTTTGAAACTCTATGTATTGCTTGGGACTTTGGGAGGCAAATGTAAATCATCAAGTCCAACTTCTTTGATCAGTCGCAAAAAAAAAGTCCAACTTCTTTGGTCGATTTTAGATGAGAAGATGGGGAAATACAAAATCAGAGAATAATTCTGACCCATGTGCCTTGAAAGTTCCCCTCTACATTTGTGCAACTACTAGTTATTAAAGTTGTCAAATTTTTTTTTAAAAAAAAATTGTTGTTGTTTGATAGGTTATTTTGCCGAATAATCTTCATTTTGGCCACCTCTAGCGCAGGTAAACCAAGAAGCTTCCCTGCTCACAGAGCCTAAAACAAAGAAGCGATTCATGGCGTTCACTTGCATTTCTCCTTGCAGGACCAGGACATACCTATGGTGCACATGCAAGTTAGGATAACCAGGAAGGGGTCAGGATCACCATTGAGAGCGCATGCACACATATGATTTCCCCAGTTGGTGCTGGTCCATGCACGGTACGGTAGGCCTGTGCTCGAGCACAGTTGACAAACTGCAGCCACTGCAAATATGCGACCGACCGAGGCCATGCATGTCGCATCTGATTGAAGGACATCTGGCGAAGCGAAGCACTGGAAATATCTCATGTAAGCTGTTGGTCTCGACGCTCGTACAATAACAGCCGTGCTGAGCCTGGAATCATTAAGGCCCCGTTCGGTTGATATGGATTAGGCTCATGAATTATTCCCGTTTATTAATGCTATATAAACTAGATGATACCTACGCGTTGCTGCAGAAATTTATAGTATTCTCTATATATTCAAACATTTGATTAAACATAATGTATCTTGTGATAAAATGATTATTGAAGGAAGGATGTATGGATGGTACAACATCTTATGTGCTAAACAATGACAAAAGCAGAGATAAAAAAAACAATGACAAAAGCAATGCTACCAAGGCAGTCATAGAAGGAAAACATTACTGAACGGTTGGCTACTTTAGACATTTGAAAAGGATTATAGGCAAGTACATTGACGCCCTCAGCAAAGCATCTGTGGTATGGTTGAGGAGCCCATAGTTTGCGTCCTTGTCGTCCCGCCGCCGTATAGCTTGGGCAAGACCTCGGTGTCGCCGGGAGCGCCGCAGCCCGCAGCCGTCACGGCCCCAGTCGCCCCAGTCGCCCCAGTACTTACATGAGAGGTCATGTAAGTACGCTTGGAGCTCCGGCCCTGCAAAAGACGATGCAGCGCGCACGGCCATCAGGTGCTGCGCCACTCCATCAGGCCAAGGCCCAAGAAGCAGATTCCGCTGTCGCCGACAAACTCACGCATGGGAGATGCAATCAGAGTGGAGGAGTTGGAAGATTCGTAGCTCCAGTCGATGCAGAGCTACACGGTTGCCAGCGTCTGCGCCGCACAAGAGTCTTGAGCACAGATGGGGAAAGAAGGCCGCCCTAATTACTGCCTGGTGCGTCGACTTAGCAGCATGACGATAGCAGTAAAAATTGAGGAGGAGTTCGGGCTGGTGATGCCGTCGAAGCACCGTCTTCTAGCAGTCTCGAAGAACTCGGTGCCGACGGTAGCAACATCGGGCAGGAGAAGCGAGGAGCCAGGAGGCGGTGCTCCGAGCACATGTGACGACGGGACCGGTGTAGGAGCCGGCAACCGGCCAGAGGAGATAACCACGTGAGGTGGCCTTTGCCGTCGCATCTTCCTCCCCGGTCGTGGCGTCTCCGAGTGCAGCGCTGTACATTGCCCACACAGGGCCGGTCAATCGATCACAAAAGCTCAAAACGATGCTGACACATAGGGGAGGTGAGTATATTTATACACGAAGGCAGGATGGTTCATTTT